AACCTGTAAAACAAACTGCTAGCATTCTTAAAAAAGGATAAAGAGGCACTTCCACTGGCTGAAACCTAGTTTTAAGTAGTCATAGTAATTAGTAATCGATATGTTGACAGGGAAGGGCAGGGTTATTTTAACCAGTTAACAACATGTTTGCTTTCTCTATTGTATCAGACTCTAGCAGTTAAAAATCTCTTGTGATATTTGAGGCTGAGAAGTTTGTCGCAAGGAGTGAAGTTTTCGTAAAATTGTAAAACATAAACTTCTTAGGTTTATATCATTAGGGACAGACACCATGAGGATAAAAAAAATCATTATAACCGTTACCTACGTCTGCCGCCTCCGTAACTGTTGGTGCACGCTATACAAAGCCCCTTATACTTAAAGGTATAATAACTCTTCGTTTTGGCCAAAAAATGAATTTTCCTGGAGTACACAACAATTTTCCCATACTTACCAATGTTTAATGAATCCATTTTTACATTCAAAGTTAGTCCCTGTTTTTTTTTCTAAAAAGTTTGGTTTTTTGTTAAAATCTCTTAAGAGATTATAACAGAGCATAGCCATCAATGGAGGTCACGTGGTCTAAAGACAAGCTCTGATATCAGAATAATAGCTGTAACTGCCGATTTTGTGGTACAACAGAAAATATTATACTTTTATGAGTTGTTCACAATGTTTTTATTGTGAAATATAGATCTCATAGGAAGAGTTATTATCCCTTTAATTTTTGCTCGTCAACACAATTAAAATGAAATCATATTACTTATAACCTTCAAACTTACTGAAGTGATTGTTAGGACTAGAATACATCTTACGTTCGAAAACCAGCCTCATTGGAACATTTTGACGTTAAAGCTCTGTTCTGAAAGCCCGCATGAATACTCCGGAACAAAAAATGTGTCCCCTACCGCCATTATGCTATAAGGGTACCCGTAGTTTTAATTTTACTATTACATAACAACTAAGCAACTGATCATCGTGTAAATTGGGGATGTGAGTAGTAAAATATTGACCTACGTAGCGTAGCCATTGACATACTTCAGCACCAATGATTTTTTTAAGATGCAGCTCCTAAGTGAAAGGGATATATATTTTTACCAAGCGGTTGGCATACTGTAGAAGCGGGTTTTGACCCGCCGAATTGCTAGAAGGTTGGTTTGTTCCATGAGGACCATAAAGAAGGTTAGACAACATCACACCCAAACATGAGCACGGGTAAAATTTCCCGGTAAGACAGCACGAAGGAAACCATATCCAGAAAGGAGATAATATTAAAATACGTCTCCTTCGTAGGAAACGTTTTAAGACATAAAGGAACTTGACTGCAAAGTTTTTGTAAGAACTCTTGTAAGTGCAAACCATGTTTTTGAGTTTACCGTCAGATGATGTCTGCACAATCACCGTTATTTTGGCAGTTTCTGTTAGGAGATATCAGTGATCGCAACCAAGAACCGTTTTCGTCGAGTCAGATGTTATGTCGTAACTCTGGCATGGACATCAGTCAACAACTGGTCATTGACACTGTTCTCAGATGAAAGCAGGTTAAGCGTTGTTAGGATTTATGGACGCGTAAGGGTTTGTTGAACAACTGGTAAGAAGTTTCTTCCCAATGTTCTGCCTCTGGTCGACAGGACGCGTCCCACATAAGTCATAGCATGGGATGAGTTGGCTAATATGGTGTAGGTGAGCTGGCAGTGATCAACGGAAACGTCTCCGTCTCCGTCGAGCCAGATGCTATGCCAAAACTCTGGCATGGACACCAGCCGACAACTGGTCACTGACACTGTTGTATGAACAACTTTCAAACACATTGCCAAAAAGGTTCAGTGATTGCAAATAATTGGAGTCTTTTCGTGTGGTTTTGCATAAAATAATGCATCTTTATTCTAAAAGTTGAAATTATGGTGAAGATGGGTATTTATGCGTTTTTCATTGTGATATAAAATACAAATTTACCAAATGGCATAGTGAACTAACAAAACGATTAAAGCTTGATCTGTACATAACCTTAGGTTTAACAAGTACACCAATAAAACCGTTTACTTTAAATATATATTTAAAACAAGTGGTCGTTTTGACTTAGTTAACATTTCAAGATGTCTACTAAACTGATGCCTTATTTAGCAACGGATTAAGTGCGGCTTTAGCACAATTTCCAGATGGAAATGGTTTGGACGCCATGTGAGCCAACTGGTAGGCCAAAGTTGTCTTTCAGCCTTTGTCCACCCACTGGGTCACTGTGCAACGGCTTCAATCGTGAATGAATATAACAAATGGGTGCAAACCAATAGCCCGCCTCTTCAAATTACATGTGGTCTTAAAATGGTTCATGTTGATGTGTTGCTGGACGGTGATGAGGAATTTACTAGTAGATACAAGTTTTGCATTCAACTTCAGGTAGCTTTTTTCCTTATTTTTTTTTGTTTTCTTTTTTATTTTATCATTATTTTTAAAAGATATATTTTCAGTATTTCTCTTTTAACCATCTAGACCGCTTGTTCTTGAATAGCAAACTAAAAAAAATCACCGATAAAATCGTGAGAGTCCCCATAAAAATTCCATATTTGTTTCAACTGAAGAGAAACTCCTTTAGTTGTTCATGTTTTCGTTGTCCCCTGTGCTCGCTCCTATAGAATGGCCTTGACATTGACCTACTTAAAGCCCGATCATGTTCATTTCTCGGGTCAACTAGCATAACGTGCAGGGATAGCAACACATCGCAGTCAGGCAATGTTAAAATGTTTGGGGTGGGGAAAAAGAAATTGTGTCGTTGAATAATCTCTGCTGTACAATTAAAAAAGTTCGACCGGTGAAAATGAATCACCCTGTAAAAAAAGGCGGTAAAATGATCTGCTAGAACATGTACAATAACATTCCAATCCTTCAAGGGGGATTCTGCGTCTTAAGAGGTGTCATTCTTAGCGCAATATCTCTACTGAGTTTTAATCAATATTTACCACACTTTTTTTCTGGAAAAACAAAAGTTACGTGAGGCACTCTCAATCTTACCAATGCTGATAACAACTCTAGCATGACATCGGAATGCCTTACAATCTAATTTATATCAATATTTCAGAATAACAAAATAAATGCAGCGAAGATCACCAAATTAATCCAAATGCCACGCTTAATATCAACGTAATTATATTCCAGTGAAGCAACGTAAATACCAAAGACATTTCATGTGCGCCTTTTAAATAGGAGATGGTGTTATTTCTCCTCAGCTGATACACTATAGTTTTAATCAACCTTGTTCGAAGATATTGGCAGCTCAAACCTTTCTAGATGAGAAATACAAGTGATCGTTTCAGTAACTTGAAGCGTGAAAGTAATAAGAAGCGGGGATTATAACAATGTAAGATTGAACAAGATCTTTGAAAATGCAGATGTGGAGGTAACTCAGCGAAGAAATTTCATGGCGAAATGTGTAAGAAGAGGCGCGTTGGTCGAATTGCGTTAGAGAAGATTTGTTGTGGTGAATAGCAATCCCATGTCTTCAAAGCATGAGCAGAGGTCAGTTGACCAGGGGGGCTTGAAGACGACCTGTGGCTGCTGATTAATCAGTAAATGTAGTGTTCGGTTGAGAAAATTGAAAGACATCCTCCCCCGCGGTTTCTGAAAAAAATCTCACCAACTTTCCCCTCTTGAAATTTGAATTTTTACTAGCTGAATCATAGTTCTAATCCGTACCAAATGGCACCCTTCGCCCTCTTAAATACCAAAAAGTTTCGGGGCCCTTCCTTGGGCCCCGAACCCTACGCCAAGGGGAGAGGGGAGGGCTTGCATCTGCGGAGCCCCCCCCCCCCCCCAACTTCGAATAATCCTGGATCCGCCCCTGCTGTGCGTACTATTCGTAAAAGAAAGGGGTTCATCATCCCCAGCCCTGGCCTATCTTTCCACTGCAGCTCCAGAAATACGTTTGATTTATATATAAGAAGACGAAAAAGAAAAGCGAAGAATTTATTTAGTCTAAATCCAGTTATGCTCCATAAACATTACAATTTTAAGAGTTAAAAATGGAAAAATTTTTTAAAAGAAGGGAGAAAAGCTCAAGCGCACTGATATAGAGCAGAAAATAAAAAAGTCAAAAAAATCTGATGTTCTATTTAGATCTAAATCGGGACAAAACTATGTATGATATTCACCACCTTCAATCAGAAGCGAGGTAGGTCCCGTCAAAACAAAAATGGCGGCGGCCTTTTTTACAGCCCATAAGCGTAAACATTTCAGACATCACCCCCCTTTTAACAAACTGAAAGCTTGTGTACATAAGGTCACCGAAATCAAATATATTTTGCACGACTTTCATATAACAGAGGCCTTAAAAAGTATTAAAACGTATGCCTCACAGATCAATAACCATACGTTGCGCCTTTATTGTTAAACCCACAGACTGACACGATTTACCTGTCGAATCGTATTGACCCATTGTATATGTACATCCTGGAGTATTCAATGATTAGTTCGTTCATATCATTTGTATTTTATCGAGAATTTACAACGTGATATGCTCACATATTACTGTTTGGCGTTCTACGGTGTGTGCTACAATTGTAACTATGTCAAAATGCCCCCATTTAAGGGATCTTGCAAAACCAGGAATTACGTCTTATCTACCAACTTATTAAATAATGATAAAAATGTTTTTATTATTAATATTAATATGGTAGAATGTTTCATTTTTTTCACTACTGTGACCAATTTTATATTAACACATCTGACAGGTAGATACATGTAAGACCTAAGGTGACAATTACTTAAGGACCATTGATATACATGTACTCTCTACCACGGCCACAGATTGATTTTTCATGAGATATTCACACGTCTCTGGTTAAACTCACTATTATTCTCTGTACTGGGTCGTTTCAACGAACATGTTCATATAATAATAACTGTGGCCCTGATGGAGGGAACCATTGATAGGCAATCTTGGATATTTTTAAGCCAAATGTACACGGAACGGCAAGATAGGAGAAATCCAAGCTAACAAGGGAAACACATTTAGCTCTTATTTGAAGCTTTATTGCAACTGTTTTTGCATTAAGTGTTTTCCAATGTTTTTTTATAATAAAAGTTTTAATAAAGGCAAAGATAAGTATCATGCTGTAAAAAAGAAATCCACTTAATGACATTCTGGATTAACGTAAAGTAGTTAAGAGTTTATCTGTATCAACTGAGTATTAACAAAGACAAAAACCTTTTCAAATACCGTTCTACGTATTTACAGTACTAAGTTGCGATTTTAAAATGGCTCGCAATTCCAATTGTTTCTTGTAAACTGAGCAACGAGTTACAGGCCGATTCTGCGCCATTTTAGACAAAAACAGATTGATATGGAAGATGGCTGGTGAGCCAAAGAAATATTTTGCCCTAAACCCATCCACTAGGTCATTGTGACGCCACTTCACTCGTGGATGAATGTAGCAAGTGGGTGCAAACAAATAGTCCGCCTCTTCAAATGAAATGTGGTCTTTAAACTGTTTGTGATAATCTGTTGCTGAACCGTGCCTGTTGAAGCGTGAATACGAATATACTAGTAGATACAAGTTTTCATTCAACTTAACTTCATCCCGCTGTTCTCTTTTCTTCTTTTCCCTTATAATTATTTACTATTATTTATTTCTAAATATATGTTTTGATTAAATGTGGGTAACGTTTGTCTTTCTTTTTACACAATATAGTAAAATAACAAACTAAAATGAATTTTCCAATAAAATCGTGAGATTCCCCACAAAACATCTCATATTTGTTTCAACCGATAAAAATCCCTTTGGTTGTTCATGTTCTCGTTGTCCCCTGGGCTCGCTCCCACAGAATGGCCTTGACATTGACCTACTTAAAGCCCCATCATGTTCATCTCTCGGGTCAACTGGCACAACGTGCAGGGATAGCAACACATCGCAGTGAGGCAATCATTGCAGATATCACCCTGTAGATAGAAAAGCACTGTAAATATGATTTGCATTACAAATTACATTCAATTACATTCAATCTACGCATATACTTGTAGTTCACACCTCTTAAGATGAGAAATAGAAGTAATCTTTTCAAGGCGTGCAGCGAGTAGGACCGTTTAATTAACTGTTCTGTGAAAACGGCCTTGTGCACAGTATTTTCGAGATTCCTCAGCCTTTTTAAACGTTTCACAGGCAATCAAGACACGACGTGCACTTGTCTTCACCAAGACACGTCATCCAGACAAACACAGAACGTTACTATAACGTTACCGTAACGTTATAATAACGACTGTCTTTGCTGGAATAGTCTACCATAGTATTACATGTACCTGGATGTTGTTCCTTTCTCTCAGCACGGCTCTCAGGGTGATAAGGCCGCCGGGGACACAGAAGGGGACGCAGCAGTTCTCTCCCATCCTACTGGACAAGCTACACTCATAGCATGGTCCACATCCACACTGAACCAACCAGTACACCATGCAGCCTAAAAGAAAGAAAGTCATACAAGAAAGTCATTCGTACTATACAAACTCAATGTTCCACAGACTTGTGACCAGGAGGATTGTAGACAGTGTGGACCAAATACGTAGATCAGTCTTTTTTAACATGTCATAAAGAAATGTATACATGTATGAATGATACTATGGAACGATGGGTCTCGATACTATAAGACTAGTGAACATGACAAGTGCGAGAAAATTATAAAGTTGCACTGTTTAGTACAATGAAAAGAACGTCCGACCTCACATTTGTCGGGCTTCACCTCGTTTTAGCAAGTTTGAGCATGAAAATAATAAAAAAAGCGGTTATTTCTTAATAACTAAGTTAGTAGGGTCTAAATTTATGCAAATGTAGATGTGGGAGTAACTTAACAAAGAAGTTTCGGGGGTAATTGTGCTAGAGGAGACGGGTTGGTCAAATTGTGTTGGAGAAGATTTGTTGTGGTGCAATTGCGTTAAAGAGGGTAACCAACTTACACACTCCCATGTCTTCGCAGCAAGAGCAAAGGTCAGTTGACCAAGGGCGCTTGAAGACGACCTGTGGCTGCGGGGCTTGTTGCTGAATAATCACTGTAGTATTCGGTTGAGTAAACTGAAAGAGAATTATGATAAACCCCCTTCACAAGCAGCAGTGACGACTTTCAGTTCGCCTATGAACTATATGAAACTACGGAGTCATGACGTGAATGTATAGCATCTTTCTGTCCATTTCTTTTACCTTTCTGGTAAAGCTTCTTTTTTCGTCCACATAACAGCGTTCATACAAACACACTAGGTAAGGTACACTAAAACCTGAAAATACCGATTTCAAACTGAATAGTATGACCGCATTCACATCGAGTTGAGCCATGGCTCTACAAAGCCACGACCTAAATATTTAGGTGTCGTGACCACGTACCTGCGGCTGCTGAACAACGGGTTGCTGTGGTTGATTGTATCCATAATAGGCTTGACCTTGAGGTGGCATTTGACCTTGAGGCATTTGACCTTGAGGTGGCATATGACCTTGGCCTGGGCGAGGCTGGTCATAACCGTATACTGGGGGCTGGGCCGCCGCTCCTGCCTCTCCCATGCTGTACTGCACTTGGTGAGGGGAGACGGCGTCGGGGACCCCCGGGTTGACCTGTGGGTATTCTTGAAGACCAGCACCTTTTTCCTCCATCATACGTTTAAATTTGTTCGGAGCTCTGAAATGAAATATGTGTTCACATCAGATTCATTTCACTAGATTCACAAAGAAAGTCCATCACCCCCCCCCCCCCCCAATCCCTAAAATCTTTCTGCTGTAGCTTCACGGAAGTACGTTTGATTAGAAGGGCACCATTTGGATACCGTTTATAACTTGCAAAAAAAAAACTGCAAATCTTCTACTCCGCTAGTTTGTTTGTGTGTTTGTTGGTTTTTGCGTTTGTGATAATTTTTTATTTATTCATTACTTTATTTATTTATCAATTAATTAATTAATTCATTCATTTATTTATTTAAGATAGATGAAAGACCCAGGAACTGATGAACTAATTTGATTTTTAGTGCAACAGGGGTTTGGGCTGTCCCTGGGAGTTGGTTGATTCTTCATTCTTCTGATTCTATTTATTTTACACACTGTATGTGCACAGCATTACGTAAAAGTTATGGCTGCATTTCGATGAAATTTTCAGGATATTTCACAAATGGACAAAGGAAGATGATCCAGTAATTCATTAATCAATTAATTAATTATGTACATATTTGCATGAAATTAATTCAAGATAGGTCACAAATACGCAACAGAACAAATGAAAAGATCTTTGTGATGATAAAAAATTCATAAAAAAATATTAGGCCTACTTAATTTTTCGGGATAGGTCAAAAATGAGATGATTTGATTTTGGTGATGGTCAATTAATTAATCAATGGTTATGTATTTGTCTTTTTGTTCGATATTGCATCTAAGTATGAACTCTTTATTATAATACGGTCATATATATATTCATTCAATCATAACGTATCATATATTAACTGGCTCCTATTTGTGTAGGGGAAGACGGGGATGGTCCGCTCCTGGGGCTAGTCCGCACACTTCCTCTATCTCGAACGCGAAACGAAGAATCTCGCCCTCCGTCATTTATAAGCGGTCACATGAAATGAGCAAGCATAATAAAACAAGAATAGCGGATGCAACGCAGCTAAAACGTGACGCTCAAGCCAGAGTTATTTTTAGCTTATACTCTCGGCACCCCCC